GCTCGAGGGAGACGGAGCCAGAGATCGAAGCTTCTGTAGATGAATTATAACCAACAAATAAAAGGAAAAAAATAAATAAATGTGAAAAAAAAAAACAGAAAGAGAACAGTGAAATTAGAGTCTTTTTCCTCCTGGGTGGAAGAGCGTTATCGTGTACTTGGCAAAAAAATATCTAAAAGAAAGTGCTAGGATTGTTCTCTGGCTTATAGACAGTCCTCTATTGTGCAGCGCATGCAATACTCGGCATGCAAAACCATAATGATTTGAAAAGAATAGTCCCGAAAGAAAATCGAAACAAAAAAGGGAGAGAGGGAAAATATGCGAAACTCTGAAAGAAAAAAAAGTTTAGAGAGAATATAAAGAGCAAAAGAGACTGGAGAATATACAGTAGAAGAGAAAGAGGACTTTGTCAATTTCAGAAAGAGCTACAAACAAAAAGGTGAAAAATAAAACTAGAAAATAAAAAAAAGACAACTTGACGGAACATCACAGAAATGGAAGGAACGAAATAAAGATTCACAAGAATAGATTCAATCGAATTAGAAAACAATTGGTCCACTACTCAATAGAACTTGCTTGTAGATTTGTTTTGTCCTGCAGACAATTGCTGAGATGTGAACAGCGACCCATTTCCTGTTTTAATAGCTTTTTTAAAAGGTTATTCTGTTTTTCAACTCCCTTTTGGTTAACATCCACTTACCAATAAAGTGGTATTCCCTCCTTTAGTAGGTAAGGTATGAAGAGAAGGGAAAAGTGGGGCAACATAAGTGCATCATTAGATTCACAAAATGCAAGAGAAAAAGACACAACACCCTTCCCTGGATAGTGAGTATGAAACAATGCATGAAAATCAAACCAAAGAGAAAAAGACACACAAAACAAATCAAATTCAAACGGTTCTCACAGTGTGCGGGCTGGACCGCGAACAGTCTGAGTACATTTTAACAGCGACTCAATGTGGTCTTCAAGCTTTAACGGTGACTGTAATGTGTTACGAATGGATGCTCTGGTTTCACCAGTGTCTGAGTAAAAACATTTAACTGAACGTGTATTATGGGTTATCCATCAGTTGAATTAAAGAACCCATGAAATGGCTCAACAAGCTGTTGTTTTCTGTGTCATGCATTTCTTGTTGAAACAGAAAGTTGCGGTAGCACATACAGTACTGAGGATACTTTAACAGTCATAATGCACCCCATAACCAAAAGAAAGGAACAATAAATCATATTTTGCATAAAGTCAATGAGGCCTGTTATTTTGGACAATACAATTGTTTTTATTTGGGAATATAAGTGCATTTTATGCCAAAATGTTCTTTTCTTTAATGCAAAAATCCAAATAAAAATCATATTTTGCATAAAAATGTTTTTAATTGAGAAAATTTGACACCTTTTCTGTAATGCAAAACAGATAGATAAATAAAATATATATGCATAATCGTAATAATAAAATTTAAAAAATTTTAGTAATAATAATGGTAACACTTTATTTCGAGTCCACTTTAGACATTTTACTAACAGTAAGTAACTTTGCAACTACATGTCAACTAGCAGTCATTAGAGTATTAGTAGAATGTCTGCTTAATATCTTCTAACTTTATTTTGATGGGTCAACAACATACAACATACTGACTATCAGAAACTTTGCAAGTATATGTCAACTTATTCTACTAACCCTTAACCTACCCTAAGTCTACTCTGAGAATTAGTAGACATGCAGTTGCAAATTAATTAGAATTTGTTGACACGTAGTTGACATGCAGTTACAAAGTTACTTATAGTTAGTAGAATGTCTAAAGTGGACTATCGAAATAAAGTGTAACCATAATAATATAAGGGATGAATGGATGGATGGAATATAAAATTGTCAAAAACTGTTGAAAATACAAATATTTTTTATATATGCAATATGCAAAACATATGCTTTTTCTTTTTGATTTTGGGGTGTAATATGATCTGATCAAAATTTTACATTCAATTTAATATGTTACCTGCTGGTTGTGAAATTTACTAGCAATATCCGAGTGAAAATTGTTTATACACCAAATTGTTTTCAGTGTATGGATCAGCTCAAATTCACAATTCACAAAACTTTCATTTGGATTTCATGCGGTTTTTAAAAAAGACTTCACAGCTGAGACCAATTTATGGAACAATTGCCATTATCTATCCGAACAGCGACTACAGTGTCAACAGTGTCTTTAAAAAACGATCTGTATTCTTGTGCTTTCAACATTTTAATTTGGGTGATGGACCTACGCAATTTAGTACAGCACTTTGGTCAACCAAGGTTGTTTTATATGTGCTTTATAAATAAATTAAACTTGAAACCAATCATCTTTAGCAGCAGAATTGAAAATTGAGGCTAAAATATTATACGGAGCAAAGCAATGTCAATGTGTTAAACTATTCATCTGTTTCTTTTTTATTACCACTGGAAGGCAAGGATTTCTGATCGACCTCAAACACACAAAAAACAACTAATAATATCATATATATATATATATATATATATATATATATGTATATAAAAAAATAACACAGCTGAACGTAAACCCCAGATACTTCAGAAACAGCCCTTGTGTATCCCAAAAATAAAAAGGAGGGAAAGTAACCAAATCATAAGACATGTACCATTTCACCAAAGACAAAAGGAATGCGGCACAGACAGGAAATGCATTATACCGAAAAATAAGAAAAATCAAATAAAACGCAGACAAGAGATGGACCTGTGGGGAGGGCAGTGTACTGAAGACTGAAGCATGAAAGCAAAGATAGATTTCAGATCGAAAGAAAAAAGAATGAAAATAGAGCAAAAGGAAAACAATGAAAAACAACCCGCCAACCTTTGGTTTTCCTCAGATAAACAAAGAGAAAGAGAGAGAGAGACACTGATGTCAAGCTAGGGTGCTTGTCACATTCTCCACGTGCGTAGGCAGAGCGTTACCTACCTTCCGCTTCAATCAGTGACACGTATGCAATATCAACAAAACAAAGGAAGAAAAAGGAAAAACAAAAAGGAGAAAGGAAAATTCTCCGCAGCCAAATGGGAAAAAGACAATGAATTCTTTTAGTATCCAGGCTAAGATAATTGATCCACAGACTAAAGGAGACAATTCCAACGAAACGAAGCAAAACAAAAGAGTGGACATACAAAAGAAAAAAATCAAAAACGACAAAGAACCCAAACAAAATGAATCAGAAATAAGAAACCCCCAAAGCAATCTATATGAATTGCTGTCTTTTTCGCTTGGACACATGTGCAGCCACATTCTACCGTACGTTAAGGAGCGTTAGGGTGTGACAAAATCTCAACAAATCCAATTTGCTAGAAGGAACGTAAATATCGATGGCCATGCATGCGCAATGTGGTTTAATGGGAAAAGAGAAAGCATGTCGGGACAACGGACAGCACAGATGAACGGGTGAAGGGAGAGGGGTGTTGGGTGGAGGGCGGTCACTTCTAGGATGGACGACTAACATCTCAAAGGGACCCCAGTCATGTTCGTTAAGCCGTATCGTTATCAATTGGTCTGCGCAATGAGAATTTAGTGCTCGGCAGTTGCTAAATCTAAAAGTAGAGTTTTGCTCTCAGCAATTGTCAAAAGTCTTTCAACAAAGGATGCAAAGATGCCACATTCGCTTAGGAAGAGAATCCAAATGGCTTGGGTCCCTTTTAGTGTAACAACTTTACCTAATGACCCTAGTTAGCGTAGTTTGCTGTTGGCTAATTCTTACAGAGCGTCCGTTTGTCCCTGTCACACATCTAGACGTACATTACACCACTCAAATGTTGACAGGAAGGAAACAAACACCTAGTTACACTATAAGAATGTATATTAATATATCAAGTGCAAGTGAAAAGTGAGCATTAGAAACCAATGTCGATGAAAACCGCCTGAAGTCACCAATGGCATTGAACCGGCTCTTGTCAGTGGAGATTTGTCAGCCGTTACCCAAGAGAGAATTCATGAATCTGTAGCCCGTTGTGACCACAGATACAGATGCAGTATTAAATGTTGATTTGGGGGGGGGGGGGGGGGGGGTATTTAAAAGCATTATCAAATTAGCAATCGTTCTAATGACCACAATGCATTAGCATTTCCACCATATTGGAAAGGTCAATATGAATAAACGAATCTAAATAACAAGTTATGAATCGCCATACAATTCTGCTTATTGCAGACGAGTATTGGTAAACCACTCTTATAAATGATATAGTTATCATCATTGAGCTGCTTGAAGTTACAGGGTCATAAATAAATAAAATGAACAAATATATTATGTTTTTGGATATAATAACGAAACATTATATTATATCTAAAAACATATATTTCAGGGTGTCTACAGATACGTTAAATGTAAGACTTTTTAGGACCTTTTTAATACCACCTTATGTGAAATTTAAGAGCAAACCTGTGATGGAAATACACATTATGTTACATACGTATATGTAATATTTAAAGGTGCTGTATGTAAGTTTTTGACTCTACTAAAGCATAAACATACCATAATATGTTTGCAGATATTTAAGAAACATGCTAGTTTATCTGAAAAACAATGCTTCAGTCAGTTATTCTGCTTTGAAAATGTACGTTCCGGGCCGGAATGTGGGTCTCTGTTTTGGTTTGTGAAACCCGCCCACTGCCAGTTTACCCAATTGTATTTCGTCACCCCGGGTTGCCAGTTGGTGGAAAACACAGCGTATTTCATTTCATTCATCGTCAAGTGCGCTCGTTGCTGTTGGTGTCAATCTGGCGACCTGCGTGTGCGTCAAGTCTGAGGAGGAGAGGCCAGGTGAAAAAAATCCTCTCCAATATTTTGAATTTGGACTGCAATACCTAGTTCAACCACTCTGTGTCAATCCTACATACAGCACCTTTAAGATGTTTAATGTAAAAAAGAAAATAAAATATCATCAATATTTTCATCAGTGTTCTATCAGCTTTTACAAACTTCAATGTGCATGTTGCTTATCTGTCTCGAGAGAGTTGGCAGAATCATTCAGTAACAAAAACGCAGAGTGTTGCTCGGAGAATGCGCAATACTTCTGTTCTGATCTTTGTTTGGAACTATTTTCTTTGGTGAAATAGAACAGTCAACATTGTGTCTAAAATACTTAGCTACCTGTTTGCTAAACTAAAATCAATTCAATCAACATTCCTAATCTGAAACACACGCCATAAACTGAAGAATACGATAAACTATTTATAAAGGACAATATAATATTTCAATCCATTGACCTTTCCAAGATGGCAGTGCTAATGATGAATCCTGATCCGCCAAATGCAGCATCCACATATTTCTTATCTGTGATTGTAACATTCAGACTCATTCATCCTCTCAGCAGAACCAGGAATGACGGCTGATTGGCTAAAAGTGTCTGATGACACCTCTCTTGATTAATAGTTCTTCACCTTACATTAAAGAAATGATCAATAATAAGGGACGATCTGATTGCAGGTCACAGATCATCGGCTCTTTGAACACCTGATACACATCTGGAAAAGGGTGGCTACGGTAAAACTGAGCAGAAAATTTGAGTTTCAACTGTATTGAAAAGAAAACTAGTAGACATACCCATTTAATCTACTCGGTCCAGTTCCAAATCATATGAGTGCTTTTTACACAAACAAGACAGAAAAGTTTGGGCATTTATTTGTGGGAAAAGATCATGTGAATTCACAGAGGTCAAGAAATCAACAAAACAGAGGGATGAATTGAGCAAATGAAAGGAAAGAGAGAGAGAGCATGAGAACGTCTGAAAAACTGCATGCAAACCGTCCCAGATATAGTAAGTGTAACCAGATATCTGAACAAAGAGTCTCTCCAAACGCAGGTCAAAGATTAGATAAATAATCATTTAACAATCAAAATATGTCATATGTCGTCATTCTTTTGGGCATAAATTCAATTAATGTAGCACTATTACTATATAAAATAAAGATGATCGCCGCAATTCATTCCTCCTTACTGTCTTTCTAATATACTGCTCTGACATTTTGTGGTATATAATAAAATGTACAAGATAAGCAAAAAGCTACAAAACAAAAAGTGTTTTTAAATGATTTATATCTGAAGCTCACACTGATTTAAAAAATAGCAGTAACACTTTACAATAAGGCCTCATTCGTTAGCATTAGTTGCATGAACTAAAATTAACATTTATTAATATTTTGTTAATGTTAGTTAATAGAAATACAACCATTACTTGTTTGTTCATGTTAGTTCACAGTGCCTTAAAGGAATAGTCCACCCATGAATGAAAATATACTCACCCTCAGGCCATCCAAGATGTAGATTCTTCATCATTAGTTTCTTCATCAGATTTGGAGAAATGTAGCTTTACATCACTTGCTCAGCAATGGATCCTCTGCAGTGAATGGGTGCCGTCAGAATGAGAGTCCAAACAGCTGATAAAAACATCACAATAATCCACAAGTAATCCACAGCACTCCAGTCCATCAGTTAATGACTTGTGAAGTGAAAAGCTGCATGTTTGTAAGAAACAAATCCATCATTAAGATGTTTCTAACTTCAAACCGTTGCTTCTGGCTAAAATACAAGTCCTCTCTCCATAATATAGCTTTCTCCAGTGAAAAGTTATCTAATCTGAATCAGGAGAGAAGTCTGCACAGATCAAACACTGTTTACAAGCCAAAACAGTCCAGAACAGCTCTGAACAAATATGTGGGTGGATTTTGATGTGAGAGACAACAGCAGATGGACTTTTTCAATGGAGGAAGCGTTATTATGGATTATGGATTTGTATTTTAGCCAGAAGCAACGGTTTGAAGTTAAAAACATCTTAATGATGGATTTGTTTCTTACAAACACTCAGCTTTTGGCTTCACAAGACATTAACTGATGGACTGGAGTGGTTGGATTACTTGTGGATTATTGTGATGTTTTTATCAGCTGTTTGGACTCTCATTCTGACGGCACCCATTTACATTGTTCATTGTTAGTTCATGTTAACTAATTTAGTTAACTAATGTTAACAAATGAAGCAAAAGTGTTACCAAAATATCTATAATTAATCTGGTTGAGGCATCGAATGTTTCCTTCATGGGACGTTATCCAACACCAGCCACTGAATTAGTATATTATTATGTAAAAGAATAGTACTGTATGTCGCAAGATGCCACAACCATCAGTTTGTCTTTGGGATGGACATATTCAACAATTGGTTGCATTTTAGTTTTCACTGTAAAAAAAAAAACCTTTTAAACATGTCCTCAGCTTTTCCATTCCTTCTCTTTCTAGAACTGAAAAAGTCAACATGGCTTGTACGTAAAATAAAGCATGACATTATTACGGAAGGAAAATGATGGACATCTGTCTCGACAAAACAAAACCCCTTCCCAACAAACACAAAAATGGCTTGAGAACAGAAAAACTCACGGAATGGAGCCAAAGAGGGAAAAGAGATATTTAGAGTCAGCTCACACAGATATGATTGAATCAGTTGAACATGGTGTGTGTGTGTGTGTGTGGGGGGGGGGATTAGTAGTGTAAACGGCAGAGAACAGATGGAGGTAAAGTAGAGGAGACTACATACATCGTTCCCTTTATTTCCCTCCATGTGATTGGCTCCCGAATCTTTGCCGTTGCGGACACGGACGCTGTGGTTGCCATTCTGCCACGTGATTGGCTGGTCAGCGCTGAGGGGCGGCGGTGGGCTGTGGCTGGAGTGACTTCCTTCTTGTTTGTACCTATCAAAAAGATCTAAGTTGACAGCATTGCTACATGGATTCCAGGGTGTTCTAGATGGTTACTATGGTGTTGTGGGTGGTTGTCTGGGTGTTGCAATGCATTTGATTTTGACTGGTTGTCAGTGCATTGCTAGGTTGTTTCTAGTGTGATCTAGATGGTTACAAGATCGTTGTGGGTGGTTGCTATGGTGTTGCTATGCATTTGCTAAAATGTTCTGAGTGGCCATCAGTGCATTACTAGATGGTTGCTATGGCATATAACATGGTTACTAGAGTGTTGTCGGTGATTGCTGGGTGTTGCTATGTGGTTGCTAAAAAGATCTAAGTTGACAGCATTGCTACATGGATTCCAGGGTGTTCTAGATGGTTACTATGGTGTTGTGGGTGGTTGTCTGGGTGTTGCAATGCATTTGATTTTGACTGGTTGTCAGTGCATTGCTAGGTTGTTTCTAGTGTGATCTAGATGGTTACAAGATCGTTGTGGGTGGTTGCTATGGTGTTGCTATGCATTTGCTAAAATGTTTCAAATGGTTGTCAGTGCATTACTAGGTGGTTGCTTTGTTGTTCTAGACGGTTACTAGGGTGTTGTGGGTGGTTGTCAGGGTGTTGCTATGTGGTTTCTAAAATGTTTCAAGTGGTTGTCAGTGCTAGGTAGTTGCTAAGGTATTCTAGATGGTTGCTGTGTGCTAGCTTACTATCCCAAGTGAAAAATCACAACTCTGATTGCTTAGAAAATTAATATCCTTAAACTCTGTAATCAGCGCATTGGATTTTTATTGTCAGACTGAGGCATTAAGATGCATGAAAGCAAAATTCTGAGCATTTTAGAAGCAAACTGCAGAATAAACATTCCTCACCTCTTCTTCTGTTTGCTCTTGTCTTTGTGTTTGTTTTTGGGGCTCCCAGATCTGAGGAGAAAACAAACACATCTAACTAAATAAGAAATCATCTAACTAAATAAGCGTAAAGTCTTAAAAATCAAAACAGAATTATGGTAAATTATGTTGAGTTTACAAGGTACAGCCGCTTCAGTGAACACTTCTGATACTCAGTTTTGTTCACGACACTACAATCTCAGAAAAAAGGTACTAAAGTCTTCACTGGGGCAGTACCTTTTCAAAAGGTACTATAATGTACCATTTAGGTACTAATATGTACTTTTAAAGTACTAATATGCACTCTTTAGGGGTGCAAAGGTGTACCTTTTTCAAAGGTGACAGTATTTTGTAAAACATTTTCTGAGAGTGTAGACGTCCATGAGCTGAACTGCATATTCTGACTTGTTTTCTGAATGATGTCTGTGAAATGATCAATACTTATGCTGTTTTCTTCAGTGTTGTTTGCACAACTATTCAAAGAGACAGACTGCTATTGAACGAGTGTTTTCTAGGCCAGTCTACTACTGCGGTATCATCGACTTTTGATTTATCAGCCACTAAACAGCACATACAAAGCAAAATAATCTGTGGCTGGCCCCTTTATATGTCAATGGATGGCTCTTGAACAAACTGTGAAGTGGATGTTGGCTCTGCAGAACTAATATGAATCCAGCACAGTTCCCAGACCATAAAATCTAACAGATCTGGGATTAGATCAGTGTTTACCTGTGTCTCCTCTTCCTCCTTGAGCCAGATGTGGACCTGAGACAGAGGAAATGCTGGGTTAGATATTAGATTATGACCACCAGAAAACTGCTGCTGTTTACATCAGTGGATTTTGTAGTTTTAAGCTTCAACATTCAACCTGAAGTCAGGCTTAAAGGCACAATATGTAATTTTTCGCCGCTAGAGGGCACATATTCAAAATAAACAAAGAGACAAAGGTGTTATTTGATGACGCCGTGACTGAGTGTGGAATCATGAGAGTTGTGGTCTTCATCCCCGCAGCCTACGCAACCTTGTGTTCATTTAAAGAAAGGTTTTCCTATGAATTAATTAGAGCACAGTCCATTTCTATTCTGCCTTTGTCCTGGGACATGCAGGGATTTTCCCTGCTTACATTCTTTTGGCCAATAAACCCAGTGATATCAGCGTTGGTTGCCATGCAACAAAGAGGCCTGTTCGACTTCCTGGGGTGTTACGCATTCCGGGGGGGAAGGGTTCATGGGTCCTCGCATGGCTTGTTAACTGAGGGGGGTTACAGAGTATTTGTTAAATATAAAAACAAAATATATATTGTGTGTTTGATTGGTCCAGACGCCACATAAGTACACAAGTCAGCAAAATATATAACACTGTTCTAGTGGTTTTTGAATATTTTAATTAAAAAATCTTACATATTGTGCCTTTAAAAGTCTGAATGTCATGCATCAGATTATACCAGAATACAAAAGCAAAAGTAATTTATTGTTAATTCTTTCCCTGTCATTGATGGAATTTTCCAGCTTTCTGTGTTTTCACTGTTATAAGGTAGGAGGCACTATTAAATAACTTCTGAAAGAGTGCTGAATCTTTGAATCAAACACAGGCAAAGAAGAAACAATCATCTTATAAAGAAATAACACAATCATCAAACATCAAACAGCATATAAATCAAAACTGCCTAACATTACCGAATGAAATGTCGATCCAGGAAGTGGTCTAGGGCTGTGCTTATCAGGACATAGTATTTGATGAAAACATGATTTCTTTCATTAAACTATCCCACATTCAAGTGTTGATAAAAAAATAATGCATGAAGCTAGAATAAAACTGCTGGCGTGCAAAGAGTTAAGAAAGATGCACAATCACGCTTTTCAAACAAAACATTTGACAAAAATAAGTTTGTTTGGTTTGAAATGAATAAAAGATTGATCTAGTGTTGTGGCAAGTTAATAATTCAAGGAGAACTGACTTTAGACATCCACTAAAAATCAAAGAAACATCAGCATTAAAAGACACTGAGCAAAAATAATGAAGAAAAGTGGCATTAGTGAAGAGAAAAGATGATGTGGCATTTAAATAATATTTTATATCCAATGCAATGACATTCATTTTTAAATGTGATTGAAATATCTATATATTTTTTGAGGGTCACTGTATGTACATCTGTTTTAGCAACTTTTTTTTTTGAGGTGATTTAACACAGAACCTTCAAACATCTCTGCTCAATCCATACTGTCAGAAGAAACTGACTCTGTTTCTGCGCTCAATTTCTAACTCTCTTTCCCACTTTTCCCCCTCACACACAGTCTGACAGTATTGAAGCTGCTGTAATAAGACACTGACACAAGGATCCAGCATGTTTCCGTAGTGTGTTCGCTATTATATACACCTGACACAAACAGATACACATGCACCCAAGCATCCCTGACGGATCCTGTCATGTTTTCTTGATATAGAAAAAAAGGCAGGAGAGAAGAAAGCTGTTATAAAGCTGTCAGAGTAACGTGAGATGAATAAAAAGAAATTCACTGTCCTGTTCAGAGAAGACTGCATTGAATTGGAGGAATATACATGTTGGTGTGTGTATCAAGTGTGTTAATCACATTATAAATATATATGTATGTGTGCATTTATATATTTTTATAAAATATAAATAACTTTTATTGTATATATATGCACAATAAATATTATATATATATATATATAATAAATCAGATAAATAAAAAAAATAATCTCTTATATCTTTACACTAGAGGCACAAGCCAAAATACATGAAGTAAAAACTGAATACACACTTAAGAGGACATATGAAACTCTATCAGCCTGTGGGCAGGAAATTCAGAATAAATTATTCATTCATCAGATGCTTTTATACACAGTGACTAGCATTACATACAAGCTTCATATTTTATCAGTTTGTGTTCCTTGGGAATTGAACACATGACCTTAGAATTGCTAGCACTGTGCTCTACAGGAACTCTATGTCAAGACCACTATATTATACAGAGAATCATATAGCATTTTCAAAACAGACTGCTATGTGAAAAACCACCTTATGAATTTTAATAGAGTAGAGGTCATGACTAGAGGAAACTCGGAAGAAACCTGCATAGTGATACACGGATATACACACACTAAGTGCAATAATAGAGACAGAAACCAAAGCATCTAAAATGCTGACACATCCGTTTATCAACATTTAGACAAGGACATTTTTTTAAGGCTGTAAAGGCACAAAATACTGCCGATATTTCTGACATAACAATATCATGAATATTTGATGAATGCAGAAAGGTCTTTGTGTAAAGCAGGCTTTTCTTGTTCATGCCTGGTGCTATTTTTGGACATTGAGTTGAGTTTGCTCTAGTCCTTGATGCTTCTGGTCAAAATACAAATGCTAATAATAAAATATTAACAAGAACAGTTTAAATCTGCCCAAGCCATTTTCTGTTAATATTAGAATCTGAGGCTGTTCTCAGAATGTAATACAAAAGTCTGCATGCGATTGTTAATCGTGTCCAGTTCCAACTCTTTCCGTAAGTTGTTGTTAAAATATAGAATACTGATATAGAATGAGTAAAAATTGTAGTTCTTGAAACTGATCAGCATAATCCATTCTTGAATATACTGATTGATATTTAACATATTAAGCATAAAAATACTAAATATATCTTAAAAATATAATTTGTTACTCGAATACAAATTACAAATTTTATACAAAATCACCTGTTGGATTTTTAGGCATTTATTTTGCTATGTTCAACTTCACTTAAGTGATATTCAGAGATTTTATTAAGATAGTAAAGTTATTTATTATTGTGATGTTTACAGTACATAGCCACTGAATTATTTTTTAGATTGTATGCTACAGGTTTATTTTGGAGAGTTTCCAGACAGTCATCATCACGGAAACAGACATTTTATTTTGATTTTTAATCCAGTCTTGTGTGTGAAACCTTTGAAAGCTAAGCAAATAGCAGGTCAATATGATAAAATACGGATATAAAAACAGATATTTAAAGTAGAGTAGAGGTTAAAATCATGGTCAGTTTATTCGTCTCATTAGAAATGGAAGTTTAGATTTAGTGCATTGCATCGTGGGATACAATATCTCATGCAATGTGCTCTGTGCATAACGCAGATTTTGGCTAACGTAGTAGGTTATGATGGTATTTGTGTGGCATGCATGAATACCGAAAATTTGCATACTCTAATAAATATTGGCTGGGAAATCAGTGTTAATTGATCGGCGAATGATGTACACCTGTGTGATTGACACACACACACACACACACACACACACACTCAAACTATAGCTCACACCCAACCACACACACACACACACACACACACAGTCAAGTGTTCTCCACAGTGCCTACACACACCTCACACACTCCTACAGAGTAACACACACAATCATCTTCCACACAAACCACACGCAAAGCTGCTCTGACAAACATTCACAAACTCTGAATACACTGTGATATATACGCTAAATCACAAAACGACCCTGTTAATCGGCGAATCGGCGAATGATGTGTGCCTGTGACACACACACACACACACACACACACACACACACACACACACACACACCTGTCTCTTTTGTGCTTCTTTCCGCTTTTCTTCCTCTTGTCTCTGCGGGTTGGAGACGGGCTGTCAGCTCTGTGGGTCACACAAACACAACAACAATGAAATATCACACAAGCACATGCCGTCACTCTCTTCCATTTTTTCATTCAATTATATTTAAATGTTCTTCTTGACCTTTTTCACTCTCGCATTTTTGTTTCTTGATAAAGTATGTCAAGCTTTACTAGTACTACTGCTTATACATTGGATTTGTGTAATCTGAACAAACCTCTAAATATTAAATTTCCATTTTTGGCTCAAAAAACTCAAAATGAGTCAAGTAAGAGATCACACTGGCAATTACAGGTTAATTTGAGCACACTGCATTGCTGGATACTGCTCGTCCGGTCGGTGTTGTGGGTTATTGGGTATTCTATGCATTGCAAACAGAACATATGCATCCTATGCACAGTATACTGGCTGTCGGGAGAACTGACTTTTCAGAACATGATGCTGCACTGCATTAAATCACAGAAAGCAAACTGACCGACTGTGTCTTCTTGCCTTCTTCTTTTTCCTCTTCTTTGGCCGAGGGGAAGGTGAACTGCTGGATTTCCTCTTAGATCTAGAGTAAAAGACAAGAAATGGAGTAAAACAAATGCAGTGTATATAAATATATATATGTTGGGGGAAATTATTAATGTTTTACATTATGTTACTCCTAATATAAGTAATCCAATCTGTTACACTGTTAATTATTTTTGGAAAGCAAAGTTATTTTTCTCATCATCAGCAAGCATTTTGTTGTTGATGATGTTTTTGAGAATGAAAGCTCCTGGCTTGCAGTTGTTGTTGTTGTTGTTTTTCTTGTGTACAAATGCATGATATTGATATAGTTTGCATGCAGTGACAACCACTCGATTGATATTGCACCATATCGAATTTAGACAGCTTCAGTGTAATGTGAGAAATGAAGTAATTTTGCATTAAACTGCATAAAGGAGATGTTTTCAATAGTATTTATTAAGTTACAGAAATTTCAATCAAGTTTATAATTTTATTCATTCATTTATTTTGCTTATGTTTACCATTTTTGTGGGAAAAAAAACCTGTTTGAAAAGTACATAAGGTTTGCATGTTTGTAAGAAAACATAATTATATTGAGGAGCTGCGAGATCGGTTTTAAACTGAATCATATTACAGGTGCATCTCAATAAATTAGAATGTCATGGAAAAGTTCATTTATTTCACCTCCATGCCACGCCGAATTGAGGCAGTAATTAAAGCAAAAAGTTTTAGTTTGAAAAAAAAGTTTATTGAGTACATGTACAGTAAATGAACATACTTCCCAGAAGGCCAACAATACACTAAAAATGTTTTTTTTTATTGGTCTTATGAAGTATTCTAATTTGTTGAGATAGTTAATTGGTGGGTTTTTGTTAAATGTGAGCCAAAATCATCACAATTAAAAGAACCAAAGACTTAAACTACTTCAGTCTGTGTGCATTGAATTTATTTAATACACGAGTTTCACAATTTGAGTTGAATTACTGAAATAAATGAACTTTTCCATGACATTCTAATTTATTGAGATGCACCTGTATAAATGATACAAATCAAATTATGGTTATCTCGTTTTCAGGTCAATAGTAGGAGAACCCAGGGTACCCAGAGAGGATTTAAGCAGCATGTTCTTTTCCAAATCTTTAAATAAATCTTGACATTCATACTTTGAAATATGTTTTTCTTTTTGCAAATTATGTAAAATTACCCATCATTGCTCCATATTTAATATTTAACAATCATATTTAATATAATTTTTTAATATTAAATAACAACAACAATAATAGTTAATCCATTTTTAGCACTTTATGGGCATCTTTTCCTGAATATGAACAAGTTCACATAAATCTCGAGTTCATTTCTATGGGATGTTCTGTAGAAAGCTAGCAACTGTAACCAAGGAGGATGGAGCATATTGAAGGATCAATTATGCTTAATATAACAATAACTTTCTCTAGAATTTCTCTCAGGGTGCTTGTAGGTGTTGAGCTCAGAGGAGACACTGTGTGTTCTTCCTTTCTCAGGTTTTTACCTGCACTCATCGTAGGCAGTTGAATCTTGCTTGTAATATTCTCCATCCCAATCATAGTCTTCCTCATAGCCGTCAATGTACGCAGCGTTTTCCATATGATCTTCATCCCCGTGAGGAAGCAGCCTGATCCTGTGCATGCAGGAGGTAAATGTCAAAGGTCATGACCTGCGCTGGTCTAAAATGCAGTAATGAGCTATTATGACTCATTCTTGCAATGTCTCAAACTGTGCTATCAGCAGTGTTGGGCAGTAACGCATTACTTAGTAACGTGTTACTGTAATTTGATTACTTTTTTAGTAACGGAGTAATTTAATACATTATAATTTTCAAAATAGTAATTAGAGTACAGTTACAAGCCGAGGTCTCTATATGTTACTACTGCGTTACATTGCTGACAGAATGCAGTGTTTTATAATCTAGAGATGGTTAAAAGGATATAGCACACACACTGTCGAGTCAACCTGCTCCCATGAGACCCCACGCAACAGAGAGCGGCACGGGACAAGACTTGATAGGCGAGTGCAGAGACTGGTGTGTGTGCACGGGATGCAGGAGAATAAAATGATTCACGGGACACCCGCAAAATAGAAATATCTAAACATAAAATATCTAAAACAGATAAATTGTTATTCATCTATTGCACAAAAGCTACATGAACTAATATCAAATATAAATGATTAACAGGTACAATGCAGAGTTTCTATTTAGGCTATAACACGTGTTTGCAGCGTTGAGCAATGCAGTGCTGGAATGTGCGTGCTCACGAATCCTCTCATTATAACACACGAATTGTAGGCATTATGAAAGATTCATTATGCATATATTTATTGTGTTATAACAGAGATTTGTGAGATTGCGATGAACTGAGATGTCTTTTAGAGATTATAAATGCAGCGCTCTTTGCTGGCATTCTGCCATGCCAAACCATGCACGCAGCCGCCGCTCGCTTTAGTTAAAAATAACAGTGTTCTGTGAATGTTGATGCTTTAATAACAAATATTTATCGGGAGCGTGTATACTGGGATTTCATAAATTTCATTTAGAAAAAAGTAACGTAACTAGTAATGTAACTAATTATTAATTACTTTTGAAATAAAGTAATCAGAACAGTAACGTGATTACTTTTAAAAGGAGTAATCAGTAATTTGATTTCATTTTCAGAGTAACTTGCCCAACACTGGCTATCAGAAATGAAAGTCTTAATTTTATTTCTCCTAAGGGATTTACAAGAAACATCGGAGACAAAGCTGATCTATGAAAGAGCAACCTGTGAGCAAAAACATTTTTATCTGGGTGAAGTCAACATCTATTTATTTACCCTACCAATAATTTCTAAAACCAATAAGAAACTTTCTTCTAAGAAATATTTCTTAGAAACAGAAAAAGGTGATAATAACGAGGGTGCCAGCTTTTACAGGAATTCCTGGTAAGGTACTAACAGATCTATTTTTCTGTTACACTCACTTTTTATAATCTATCTCCCTCATTATAAAGCCTTAACTTATCCTCATTATCCTTCCTAACATGTGTCTTGATCAATTAAAATTAGCATTTCACTACTACAGGAGATCTTATCTAAAGCTATAATGATCAGCTTCTTCATCACAGTGGTAAATGTCACCATCCTGCTTCTGCAAACGTGCTTTTATAAACAGCCTGACAGTCCTATGATATAAAAGAAAATTTTTACAAATATGGGTAAAAGGGTATTTAGTAATTCTGCACCATCTGAAACCAGCTAAATTTTGCCTCAAAGAGTTGGTCTCTTTCAATGAATTTAAGTGCATTTTAAATGATTTTGTCTTGGATTTACTCAGTTGTATTTGTACTTTGATTGATGTGTATTGTTTATGTGAATTAATGCATTTTGATTTGTTTAAATGTTTTTATGTTTAACTATGTGTGCTGCCTGTCTTGGCCAGGACCCTCTAAATGTAAAATCTCAAGAGTTTTTATTTTCTGGTTAAATAAAGGTTAAGTAAAAATAAAAAAGAAGGGTTAAATGACAACATAAAGGCCCAGTGATGAAACAGATGGGTTAAATGATATGGATTCTGTGACATAAGAGAAGGGATAAATGACAACATACTTGAAGGGTCCTATGATGGAACAGAAGGGTTAAAAGACAACATAAGGGCCCTGTGATGAAATAGAAAGGTTAAATGACAAAATTAGGGTTCTGTGATAAAAGAAGGGTTCAATGACAATATACTGGAAGGGTTCTGTGACAGAAAATAAGGGTTAAATGACAACATACTGGAAGGGTCCTATGATGGAACAGAAGGGTTAAATCAAAACATAAGGATCCTGTGATTAAACAGAAGGGTTAAATGATAATATAAGGGTTCTGTGACAGAAAAGAAGGGATAAATGACAATATACTTGAAGGGTCCTATGATGGAACAGAAGGGTTAAATCAAAACATAAGGATCCTGTGATTAAACAGAAGGGTTAAATGATAATATAAGGGTTCTGTGACAGAAAAGAAGGGATAAATGACAACATACTTGAAGGGTCCTATGATGGAACAGAAGGGTTAAAAGACAACATAAGGGCCCTGTGATGAAACAGAAGGGTTAAATGATAATATAAGGGTTCTGTGACAGAACAGAACGGTTAAATGACAAAATGAGGGTTCTGTGATAAAAGAAGGGTTCAATGACAACATACTAGAAGGGTCCTATGATGGAACACAAGGGTTAAATCAAAACATAAGGGTCCTGTAATGAAACAGAAGGGTAACATGGCAATATAATGGTCCTCTGGAAGAACAGAAAGTTTCTAAGATGTTGTGTTGATAGAGCTACAATGGCTCAGACTCTGAATTCTTGTGGACAGAATGGCCAGAAAAAGGAGGTTAGATTTAAGATGAAAAGGATTTTTTAATTAGATTGGTCTCTGGGTGAAGGAGGTAATGTATGGTCGCTGAGGTTTCCTTGGGGCTGTGCTATTAACGCAGGGTCATTTGTGATCTGTAAAGAGTATTAAATCATGATCATCTCCTTCTGCTTCTGATAAAGGACCTGCACCCACAAGCTAAGAAAGTTTGTATGTGTACGGCTGAAGCAAACACATTAGGCATATATGTGGGATTTTATTTCGGAACCTATTTCAACATGACTTCATGTAAGCCAACGTTATGACTTGTCTTTATGCCAGGCAGCAAAGCTACATTTCCCATTATCCTCCATGGCAACATGAGATTATAAACTACACAATATAGCTAAAGCCTCTAACCTTCATCATTTGCTCTTCATTTTGATGCATTAGTGCTATAAAGTTTCTGTGTTCGTCAGCAGATAAAAAAATTGAGTAGGCATTTCCCAAAGATTCATTTTAGTGAATCAGTTTATTCAGACAGTTCATGTAAATGAACCAGAAAGAAAAATTAATTTCAATCCATGTGAAGCATTTTTGCATTGCATTATTTAGCTAAATGGTTTTCCAGCCAGTTACATAAATAAGGGTTTCTAGTTCTAGTAAATGTATTTAATGTACATTTATCTATTAAACATCCACTATCAATTCACTGGCACTGAGATTTGTATTATGGATGGTTTCTATCAGTGCTGGTCAGCGTTATCGTTAATCACAGTAATACAACGACGCACACAAATGCTATCCGATACTGTCTCTAGGAAACACACACTATATTCAATTACGTTTGGAAGATAAGGTCAGAGCAGAACAATCGTTTGCTCATTTACTGTCTGACACACACATCATGTGTGATTGACTCACGGTGGACGTGGGTGCAAGCCTTCTCGAGTTATCACACCCTCCTTTTCCATCAGCATCTGCCGAAACGTTCCAACCTTCTGTCGGATTTCTTCTTCGGAATACCTGCAAACAAAAATGAAAGCATTAAAGGAAGGAGCCAATCCACTATAATTAACCCTGTCAGCTACCACCCAGAAAAATGTTTGCACGGGTCACCACTCACATTTTCTTCAGAAAGTGTAAAAGTCTAGTTTTAATCTCGCCACTTTCAGAGATGTGCTAAAAATGCGTAAATAAATGCAGCATGGAAACATTCAGCCCCACCAAGGGTTTGGATATTAAATGGGCCATTCTCGTTTTCTCCAGAGAAAACTACGGTAAACAAGATTACCGAAGTGTGTGTGTGTGTGAGACCGTCGTGCCACACAGTTTGGCTGTAATGTGATTTCAGAGGTGCACAGGTGCCTGCAGGGGGCGCCGGACCAGAGCAATGTCACGATGCAGAAATCTGTGGGTGGCAAAGTGACTTGACAGTCAGCATACTCAAACGACAGTGTGCACTTGATAACATTTGAACCCATACTGTGCAAAAAGAGATGGAACTGAAATCTTGTTCCAAAACCTAGTGAGTTGCCTATATAGGAAACATGTTGAGGCATCACAGACGTGCTCCAGAGTGAAAAAATCAATCAAACATATGAAGAGAAATATGCAGCAAATTGTCACTTATTAGTATAAAAATACCCAAAAGCACTGCAATAGTTACACTACCACTCAAAAGTTTGGAATGATTAAGTCTCTTTTGCTCAACGCGTTAATTTAATAAAACATACAGTAAAAACTGAAATATTGTGAAATATTATTACAATTTTTAATCATTGTTTTCTATTTGAATATATTTTAAAATTCCTGTGATCAAAGCTGAATTTTCAGCATCATTACTCCAGTCTTCAGTGTCACATGATCTTCAGAAATCATTCCAAAATTTAAATTGTAATAATATTTCACAATTTTACTGTATTTTGGATCAAATAAATGCAGCCTTGGTGAATAGAAGTGACTTGTACTTAATTATTTGTAGTGTAAATGTAGTTTAAATAATAACTATGTTTCCAATATTTGTGTGTGCTGTGCATTTTTATGCATTACAGCAGCTTACCAACATAATACCAATAAATTCAACTGCGCATTTCACAATGATGTACACAGCTCCATTTTAGTCAGCATGCTCACTGTGTAGGCAGCAGACAGCAGGGCAGCTAACTAGATTTTGGAACTGAGTAGGTTTTCACACACAGGTCAAAGCAGCACATGACGCGTATGTCAAGGTGTGTTGATGTAAATCATGTGAAAGGGTCTTAACACAGCGGCACATGAAACCTGCACCTGTTGTCTGGTTAAAGTAGGCTGGTGTAACCGGGGCAACCATTGTGCATTCAGTTCAGCTGGTAATGCATGGCATCACAATAGCAGGTTTTATCAGCCTCTGCCCAGAGCAGCTGCACACAGCGGCACATGAGGAAGATGATGTGCATGTTTGTGTTGAAGCCAAACTTTCCTGCTATAGAAGCTTGTGCTGGAGATAATGCTGCTTTTTCAAATCCATTCCGACATATGCACACACACACACACACACACACACAAGATAAAAATGAATTTCTATGGTTATTTCGTGGAATATGACCTCAGGTGCGTTCAAATCAGTTTGGTTGGAGTAAGATTTTTCAACTCTTTATCTACAAAATGATGAATAATGAATGTGCATCGGGTGTGTTTTTGCTTTTTTATGTTTCTATTCAACTTGTGAAGGTGCTGTAAATTGAATCATCATATGTAACTCACAAAACCAGTGTTAAGTCGCTGGGGTATATTTGTAGCAATAGCCAATAACAATTCATTGTATGGGTCAAAATTATAGATTTTTCTTTTATGCCAAAAATCATTAGGATATTAAGTAAAGATCATGTTCCATGAAGAAATTTTGTAAATTTCCTACTGTAAATATATAAAAAATGTATTATCATTAGTAATATGCATTGCTAAGGACTTCATTTGGACCATTTTAAAGGCGATTTTCTCAATAATAAAAATTTTTTGCACCCTCAAATATTAATCGCACTCGGACAAAAATTGTCCTATCCTAACAAACCATACATCAATGGAAAGCGTATTTATTCAGCTTTCAGATTATGTATAAATCTCAATTTCAAAAAAATCGACCCTTATGACTGGTTTTGTTGTCCATGGTCACATATATTCTGTTGTAATTGTACAGTAATATTGTATTTTGTCCAAACAATTTAGTTTTATTGCAAATTTACAAAAACATAACAATAATTTGAACAAATTTACCATTAATACAGATGCTGCATTCATTGCATGACATGTTTTCTTACTGACATGCTCCAAACTCCCAAATCAACTATGGTTTTTAATATCTCGTTTGTGACTAATTATTTTATTGGGCTTCCAAATATCACAATATTGTATAACAAATGAAATAAACATTTACACACTACCAAAGTTTGTGCAAACTGTGATACATTTTATTTTTCAGGATTATTTGATGAACAGAAAGTTCAAAAGAGCAGCATTTATTTGAAATAGAAAGCTTTTATAACATCATAACTGTCTTTACCGTCACTTTTGATCAATTAAATGTATCCTTGCTGAATAAAACTATTAATTTTTTTTAAGTCTTTCTGACCACAAACTTTTGAACGATAGTATATTTGAGATAACAACTGATCCCACTCAATGAATTAATGTTAGCATACAGCTCTTCAGCATTGCACATTGCTTGCTATTTCACTTTCTATTTATAAAAATAAGTGGAAGGCAGTGCATGTGCTCATGTTAAACATATGCCAAACATGACCTGCAGGGGGCTCTAGACATGTTTGGAAAGAGCAAATGTAACACACACACCTACATCCTGGCCACAATGGACAAGGCCTTATTAGGCCAATTAGATAATAATGGCAAGAACAATGTCGCCATAATTAGCAAAAGACTCCTAGGACATTAATGCACCTTCTGTCTGTTTCGTTTAACCGTGAATCGATAGCACTGATTAACCTCGTTTAATAGCATATACTCCCCTGTGCACCTAATGAAGCCTCCGGTTCAATGCTGAGCATATAGAGACGGATTATAGAGGACGGTGCAACAAACCGTGAGTGCAGCCTATTAATCAATAATATCAACACTGATGGTGCAGACTTTACCGGCAAATTGTCAACTCGTGCATTTTTTTTTTCAGCGAAAGAAACAGGTTTTATTGTGCATGAGATCAATTTAGGTGTTTATTGTTAACCTGACTTGCTATGTCCGTATTATTGAATCACTGAGTTATTGCCTTAATAACAAGGAATGTTTCCAGAATGTTCTGACAAGGTTCTCTCATAGTTATGAACAAACGTTCTCAAATGTTCTCAAAACATTAGAAAACAATGACTTTCACAAAAACATGATTTTTTTTTTCTGAAGCACGTTAGTTGAACATTTTTAAATGTTACTACTTGTTTCAGAATGTTCAAAAGTAATGTTTCCGCAATGTTTGCAAAAGTATATGTTTCCATAACATTCCTGTAAAACATTTAACAAATTAAATAATGTTTTCATAACTTAATGAGAACATTCTTAGAACATATTTTCTGGGTAGCTCCTGAAAGTTTAATCTACTAAATTCACAAATGAATCATTAAATGTGATTTGTAAACCAGTTCATTAAAAAGAATGGGCTCAAAATGGACATGCTATCTGGTCTCAGAGAAGATGACTGGATATGGAGAATAAATGTTGAAATTAAGTGTTATTTCATGTTTTTTGGTAAAGGGAAAGCCGTGTTAATGTTTCAAACTGCTGAAAGAAAGTTTCTGTAATGCATTAAGAAAAAGCATGTTTTTCTTCAAATTAAATAGAGTAAAAAGTCAGATATTATGCTTTGGAATGTAGTGAATGAAAAGTAAGCGTTCATAAATATGAATTGATTATTTAGTTCTCATACAACTACACACAACATATGGCTGTGAAAAACCAATAACAACTTAAGTGTGTCTTGCCATGCTATTTAAACTAACACACTGAAACCTTTTTAATTTCCTTCTCATACTCTGGTGATATGAAGTCATCAACATTTCATGAATCAATTAATTCATAATTCATTCCTCTACCCAAAAACCTGACAATGCATGTCCAAAAATGCCTTTTTGTCATCAAAACAACACACTCCACCTTTGCTCTTGATGGAAAAGTACTTCCAAATCCAAGACTGCCTAAGAAGCGAATGTTGGACTTGACATTAAATGAGTGTTTATTGAATGCAGCATGAGTTGATCTGATTGGTTGTTGGTTTACAGTAAGGTCTGATAAAAAAAAACGTTCATGTGGAGCCCTCGTGCATATTTATGAGCTTCAGACTCGTTTGGGAATCCAGTTACACAACGGACTGCATCTTTCCTTACTGGAGTCGATCTTTCTATCCGTCCATCCATTGACCTGAGTCTCAGCACGCTTCTCCAGGGAACGTGTAAATGATATATGAAGCCTCATCCTCGTCTCCATCTGTCCGTCCCTGTCTCTCTGGCCGTGGACGGGTCTGATCCCGGAGGTGGGGGCAGATGGAGGCGTCGGGCCACTGGCGTAGCCGCTGGCAGTGGAGCGATTAGCCAGAGCGCCGCTCCAACAGTAACACTCCACTAATTGGTTCCTGCTGGGGAGAAAATGCCAGACGACCAACTACTGCTAGATTTTTTCACCTGTTTTATCATCCGACAGGTGCACAAATGCATGTCCAGTCGCTTAGAATAGAACAGCACACCTCCACTCAACAAGACGCATGAAGCTCAAACGCTTGCAGGCCGTGTACACTCTACACATTTCTAAAAAGAAATTCAGTGGACCTACTGTGTTGCCACAAATAAAAATAGTAGCATTGAAATGAACTTTTTTTTTTTCCAAGTCAAAAATATTAACATCACTAAACCAACCATTAATTTATAACAACAAAACTCATTTTACAGTTTTTTCCAATTGCTAACACACTAAAATGACATGCACAGCACAATTATTTAAACTGACACACAGAGAGCAAAACTTCTTCTCAAGTCTCCAAAAGTCTA